TTGCTTAATTTTATTGATAAAACAATCTTTTCACACAAAATTAATGCTGCAGTCATTTTGCATGGCTATTAGCGTGATTTGCTCATCATAATTATCCACGTATATGATAGTGTTTTCATTCTTCAGGTCAGTTTTATATTCATGGAAGAAAAAATAAGTTTGAATAAAGATATCTTTGTCATAGTATCCTTTCAATGGTTAAAGTTACCACAGTCATCGCATGTGCTGCACTTTATTTGTACCATTTTGTTTTATTAGTTTATTTATCTATTAACCTTTTTTAGAATTTGAAAGATATATATTTCAAAGATAGACAATAAAGATATTGTTTGATAAGTGAGATCTCTGATTGTAGTCCTTGAACACCAAAAAAGTAGTTCTTGAAAACTCCTTGAATTTTATTTTAAAGTATCTGTACGAACCCTGATTAATGCTGTTCTATATCATGTCTTACACAAATGTTTTAACATTGATGATAATAAGAAATGTTTCTTATGTACCAAATCAGAATATTAGAATGATTTCTGAAGGTTCATGTGACACTGAAGACTGGAGTAATGATGCTGAAAATTCAGCTTTGCATCACAGTAATAAATTACTTTTTAAAATATATTTAAATAGAAAATGCATATTTAAAATTGTAATAATATTTCACAATATGAACTGTTTTTACAGTATTTACTGTAAATATTACTGTAAATATTAAATATTACTATTTTTCAGCCTTGCTGCACTTCTTTAAACTTCTTTACTTCACACCTTTGAATGGTAGTGTAGATTATAAACTGTTTTGACAAAATTTCTGTATGTGTGATGTTTGTTTTTTGTTTACCTTTTATCCTTGGGTAATTCTTGTAAGCATGTATTTAGATTTACATACTTGCCGTAAAAAAAAAAAAAGAAAAAAAAAAAAAGATTCTGTAACCATTTAAAATGTTATACTTGACTTGCACTTTAACAGTTCCTTAATTGCCTATGCATTCTGTTTTAGCAGTGGGCACCCAGGAGGATATGATGGACGTCCTGTTGCTCCATACCCTTTTCCTACAGGTAAGTAGTGTGGTACCATCTCCCCAGTCTAATTATATTCACCTGGAAAACTCATTTAATTTAGATCTCGGTACAGGTCACAAGTACTTAAATATTTTCCAGGCTTTATTCACCTCAATTAAGAATCAGGCGCATTGGGGTTTGTTCCTATGGTTCCGTTTTCAGGTGGGTTTCCTCCACCCATGCAAGGAGCTGTTAGCCCCTGGCCCGGTTTGATGGACAACCCAAAGCAGTGGGACTACTACCCTCGGCGAGACAAAGAGAGGGAAAAAGAGCGAGAAAGGGACAGGCAGAGGGAACGGGGCCACGAGAGAGACCACAGTCCCACCCCTGTGGCTTATAACAGGTCAAAGATGATGTCAACCCACTCACTTACTACACAGATATACTCTGTTTTTCAGTTTGAACGTGTAGAATTGTCTTTAAACTGAGACATTTAGATTTTACTTTAAAGTCTTATTATTATTCCAAAGAAAAAACTCTGTCATCTTTGACTTTAACTTTGTCAAGAATTAAATAATTTTGGCCAAGTTTCTCTTTTTTTATTATTTAATTATATATAAAAAAAAAAAAAAAAAAACTTTTTTATTGATTTAAGCTTGGTCTTTTGCAGTGATGAGGAAAGGTATCGTTCTTACCGTGAGTATGGAGAAAGAGGGTACGAGAGGCATCGGGAGCGAGCGAGCCGCGAAAAGGAGGAGCGTCACAGAGAGAGGAGACACAGAGAGAAAGAGGAGGGGAGGCACAAGTCATCACGGAGGTATCATATCAGGGTCGGGAATTAATGGAGGCTTGGGGTAAAAATGCCACCAAAATGTATAAAAAATCGAGATATGGGGCAAAAATGCCCCTGTAAAAGTTCTTGTTTTTAATATTTGTAACATGATGCAGTTAAGCAGTATCACATGAGAAAGTCTGCTGTTTTCTTTTATATCAGCATTGCTTGGAAATATTATATTGATTTTATACAACAGCGCCCCCCCCCCCCCCCCCCCCCCCCCACAACAGTTCAATTAAAAATAAATTAATATTAAGTGATTTACATTTAGAGACAATATTGTCTATTTTTGCTCTATTGTGCCAAGAAAAATAGTTCCAAACAAAGCCACAGCAGCACCGTTGCGCATCAACACAGAGTGGTGTTTCATTACTGAATGAATCCACATTTTTAAACGAATTAGGTGTATGATTGATTCAATGACCCATTCACAGACAGTTGCTTGATTAGTTCCTGAATGAATCAGCCATTTTAAATGACCCAATGACTCACTCGTTAAGTGAGTGACAATGGGTCTCATCATGAAACATTCGTAAATATACGAGTAAATATGGAGTGATTTGCGCGTAAAGAGACCTTCCCGAAAACTCTTCTCCTGATTTACAAATACTTCGTAAACGTCAGATGTGATAGTGAAATGTGTGTGTGTGTTAATGAATTCCAATCAGTCGTAAATGGGATGCACGTGCACGTTCATTCTCAATTACCATAAATCCCGCCCATTAAATCCGACTGACAACTATATATGGGCATCATATTGTGACATGAATGCGAATGAAAAAAAAATTCTTAGATGCAGAAATTGAAGTTTTATTATCAGAAGTTCATTCAAAACGCCACATTTTATTTTCAAGCGTACATAGTGGTGTATCGGGTCCTAAAAAAAGGAAGCTTGGCAGCATATTACAGATGCAGTTAATGGAGTTTCATCTGTTAATCGAACATTCCCAGAAGTGAGAAGAAAATGGTTCGACATCAAGCTTGAGAGCAAAAAACGAATTAGTTCACTTCGGAAAAATAGTATTCAAACTGGAGAAGGACCACCATCGCAGATGCTATTACTGGCTCTCATAATAAGAAAAAACGTATGTAATTACTATATATAATATTTTTTCAAAATGCTGTGCAAATATGTACCCAATTAAGGTGAATTAAAATGCAGCCTTATTAATGAGCAAAACGTTCGGGTGTTAAGCGCACTATTTACGCGTGGCTGGGAGCAGGTGTAGATTTCTTGTGTACCAACTAACATTTGGAAAATACGAACATTTTAATGAATCCGAAAATTTACGCCAGAACCACTTTACACACGATTTACACAAAAATTCGTTCTGCTCGTGTTTCATGAATGAGACCCATTGACTTTAGTTTCATATTTAAAAGCATCTTTTCATTTTTTCCATAATTTCGTTTTATATTTAAAACATTTATCTCATAACATTATTTATGCAGTTGTAATTGTAAATGCATTCATGTCACTTCTGAGCAGCATTAAACTGTCACTAAATGCCACTTCAGTGCAGCGCAAAGATGGATTTTGTTTGTTAACAGCCATATAGTGTCTTATTATTCTAAGTGAATTTATTGTTTAAAAAAATAAATAAAAGAGATGTATTAATTTTAAGAATTTGACATAAAAGATGACTCATATATTTAATAAAATTGCCCTTATACTGTAAAAAAAAATCCCTGAGAAATCAAATAATGCCTTGTAATAGGAAAGGTAATTTCCATTATTGTAACAGTCTCATACAGTGCTCTGCATTCCCTTCAAGATCCTTATTCTTTTCTCTCTTCCATCACAGTAGTAGCAGACGAAGACATGACAGCGAGGAGGGGGACAGTCACCGGCGCCACAAGCACAAGAAGTCCAAGAGGAGCAAAGAGGGCAAGGAGCCCAGCGAGGAGCATTCTGTTGACCAGGAGAACCAGGAGGCCATGGAGTAACTCCTGTCTGTCTTCTCCGCTCTCCTTCCTTCTTATGAGAGCGCTGGTTGTCAACCAAATCATGCTAAATGAAACTAGAATCCAGTTTACCTTCCTCTTTTTTTTTCATGGTTTCCTTTTTTTTTTCGTGTAGTTTTTTTTTTTTTCCAGTGCAGTTGTACCATGTAGATGTTGATTTGTTGGATTAAAAAAAGAGCATTTGTTAATATTTGTTGTGTCTTTCATACTGTATATTGTGACTTGAGCAAATGGCAATCAGTGTTCACAGTTGATCATGGTATCCAGCTTGATTTATCAAAGATTAACAATTATTGTTTCTGAGATTTTAATTTGGTCTCAGCTTTTTGGTTACTGTACACTATTGTAGATTATCTCACCAAGGCTGCATTTATTTGATCAAAAATACAGTAAAATTGTGAAATATATTACAAATTAAAATGACTATTTTGTATTGTATTCCTGTGATGGCAAAGCTGAATTTCAAGCATCATTACTCCAGTCTTTAGTGTCACATGATCCTTAAATAAATCACTCTAATATGATGATTTTTTTATTATTTGATAAATACAACGTGCGAAAGAACAGCATTTATTTGTCTTTACTGTTGATCAATTTAATGCATTATTGCTGAACAAAAGTGTTTATTTCTTTTAAAAAAACGTACTGACCCCAAACTTTTGAACAGTAGAGTAATTTCGCTACCTAAACAATTATAAATATTATTGAATAATAAATCTGCAAGCAATAGGATACAATGTGCAATACCTATAGCCTGGCATGCCAGACCTACATCAAGATGTAATAATTTTCGCTGCCGCTAGGGTGCGTCTAGATTTCTAGGCTACAATACCTATTCTTTAATTAAACAACATAGCAGATTATATATATATATATATATATATATATCTTATGATCTATGTATAGGTGTATTTCTTTTCTGTGTATTTTGTCGTGCTTTTGAAAACAGCAAATGCAAACTAAGGGACACGTTTTTAATTACGTTACTAAATTTTATCCTTTCAACGTGCAAGTTAGAATATGACATAGAAGAAATATGTGAAGTTATAGGTGTCTTATGAAAGATCATAAAGCAAATGATTTTATTAGTAATAAAAAATGCAGGTCTCACCAGGGTCTCACACCCGTTTATTTTGACATAAGAAAGCCTCAAGCAGTGAGCATGTGATTTACATACTCTCGCGATGTATCCCGAGATCAATCCACACGAGATTTTCGGCGGATGTTGATATTTTGATCCGGATTTCTGTACAGTCGTTTCTCACCGAGGCCGTACGATCTGCGTTATTGCATATATTTGAGTAACGTGTGCGAAACGCGGTCTTTCTCGGCGCTTCTTTCGGGAAGCAAAGAGGCCGAGGCGGAGGGCGATGATGGAGGACTTTGATGAGATATACGAGGAGGAGGAAGAGGAAGAAGAGGACGAGGACAGGGCCGCGGAAGAGCAGCTGCTCAAATACGCTCCGGACCCGGTGGTAGTGCGCGGATCCGGGCACGTCACTGTGTAAGACTGCCGGCAGCTCTGGATGTATTCATATATAGATTATTAATCAACACTGATCACACCTAAGCTATCAGGAACTCAGTGCTCATTTAGAGACACATAAGACATGCTAAGTGTCATTACAACTGCTTAAGACAAATAGTAGTAGTTTTTTATGACAAATCCCAAAACGGTTTAACATTAACAACCTAAAAAATATGTTGAATGTTCGGATGCGCATACAATTCCCCTAAGAAATTGACAACTGACTATAATTTTGTGTTCCTTGGAAAAAGTAAGTTATACGGGTTTGGAATTACGCAAGAGTGAGTAAACGATTAAACTTTAATTTTTGGTGAACTACGTCTATTACAAGGATTTTCTATCTTTTAGATGCCCCAGACCCCCAAATAGGACAGTTCTCATGCGAGGGACTTTGGATAAAGACCTAGTGCTCATTTATACTGTGAATCTAAAATATTTTTGGGTAAATTTTTGGTTTCTGTTAAGCTAAATTATTAAGTTTCTACACATTAAAGTACTGTACTGTTGGATTGATTATTTATTTATTATTTACATATTATTAAATATTTACTCATTAATTTATATATTTACAACACACTTGTATATTATAAAATTTTATTTATTTTAATCTTTTTATTATTATTTTTTACATGTTGTACACCTTTCTCTTTTTTTGCTACTTGGTCTAGTAAAATGAACTTTACATTATTGAACTATTACAAAAATATAGCATATTACAGTAAATCTACTTGTGCCTTTGTCGAAACTCAAGTTTGAGAAATTAAAATCACAATATTTTAAATATTTTTTTCTTTCCTGTAGGTTTGGACTGAGCAATAAATTTGAGTCTGAGTTTCCCTCAGCCCTTACGGGAAAGGTAAGTGTTATTTCAGTGGCTTTTTCATCTCAAGGAACTACAATTAAATGTAGAATTATTCATTTCTAATCCCAGTGAGAAGTGCAAAGCCCCAGAGAAGCATGTCATTAATTGCATTCAGAAATGGAAGGAAATAGTGTAAGACTGTTAAGTGATAGAATGTTTAAAATAATTATTCCCTCCAACATTTTTGTCCAGCTCAAACAAGATGTTTAGTAGAATGTTCAAGCTGCTTTTATCCACGTAACTACAGGTGCTGGTCAACGAATTAGAATTATTTTAAATAGTGCAATCATGAAATTCTTTGAATGCATTTTTTGTGCAGAAAGCAAATCAGGTGTTCACCGCACCTGTCCTACTCGTTAGACTAATCACAGAACTCGTTATCTGGAAAAAAATTTGCTCAGCTGAGCTTTCCAAAAGGCCCATTTAGGCCATTTAACTGTGACACTGTTGTTTTATTGAATTAGAATAATGGTGAAAGCGTTTCATTGAATTAGAATAAATGCTCAAATTTTTGTTTTCTGTGAAGAGTGTTCACTGTGCAGTATAAAGTCAGGGTTGAGTAGAATTTCTAAGTTGTAAAATCAATCATGGGTAAGCAGCGCGACCTCTCAACCGGAATAGTGGCTCAAATTCAAGCCCTTCGCCAACAAGGCTTGACCCAAACTAAAATTGCTGAGCAGCTCGGCATCAGCCAGTCTTCCGTCTGCAAAGCTCTCAAGAAAAACTGCAGCAAGCGCACCAACTGTTCCGGCGTCCGAAAAACTTCTGCTCGCGACAACAAGCAGCTGAGAAAGATCGCAGTCAGCAACCGGTTCAAGTCCACTTCCGAGCTCACCGACTTGTGGAACAAGCAGACCGGCGCTGACGTCTCCAGATCAACCACTTACCGTCGTCTGCGCGAACTCTGCTTCAAATCTCGCGTTCCAGCAGTAAAACCGATGCTGAACAAGAAACAAGTGGTGAAACGGCTGAAGTGGGCCAAAGAACACGGCGAGTGGACTGCTGAAGACTGGCAGAAAGTGGTCTTCAGTGACGAATCACGCTTCTGCATCTCCTTCGGTGACCAAGGTCCTCGTGTCTGGCGTCGTGGTGGCGAAACCTACAACCACGAGTGCGTGAAAAGATCCGTCAAGTTTCCCCAGAGCGTTATGGTCTGGGGATGCATGTCCGCTCGAGGTGTAGGGAAACTCTGCTTCCTCAAGAAGACTGTCAATGCTGCCGTATATCAAGATGTTCTGGAAACGTTCCTGATTCCGACTGTTGAGGAACAGTTCGGCGAAGAAGACTTCATATTTCAACAGGATCTTGCACCGGCTCATGCGGCAAAGTCGACCAAAGATTGGTTCACTAAAAAACAGCTTGAAGTTTTGGCATGGCCGGCCAACTCGCCTGACCTCAATGTCATTGAAAGCCTTTGGGCCATCGTCAAGCGGAAAATTCGCGACAGAAAGCCTACTACGCTGGACCAACTGAAGCAGAACATCGCCACTGCCTGGGAAGCTGTGAGTGCGGAAACTTGCGACAAGCTGGTCAAATCGATGCCGCGGAGACTTCAGGCAGTCATACAAGCCAAAGGGGCAGCCACAAAATACTGAGAAAGTGATGATTGTAATTATAATAAAAATTATTGCAATTCAATGAAACGCTTTCACCATTATTCTAATTCAATAAAACAACAGTGTCACAGTTAAATGGCCTAAATGGGCCTTTTGGAAAGCTCAGCTGAGCAAATTTTTTTCCAGATAACGAGTTCTGTGATTAGTCTAACGAGTAGGACAGGTGCGGTGAACACCTGATTTGCTTTCTGCACAAAAAATGCATTCAAAGAATTTCATGATTGCACTATTTAAAATAATTCTAATTCGTTGACCAGCACCTGTAGTTGTTAAGCTCGAAAGTGTGTATTTTACAATGTAGTGCCACACAATTCTGAGGTTCTAGTTGACTGACTGCTTCGTTTATTGATTTACAGGTTGCACCGGAGGAGTTCAAAGCCAGCATAAACCGCGTGAACGGCTGTCTGAGGAAGGCTCTCCCGGTGAATGTGCGCTGGCTGCTGTGCGGCTGTCTCTGCTGTTGCTGTACTCTGGGCTTTAGTCTGTGGCCGGTCATCTGTCTTAGCAAAAGGGTGAGTTTGTTCAGAGTCACCTCGAGGAAATGTTCCTGGTTTAAAAGAAGCTTAGCTTTATCAAAAGCATTTGTGGTATGCTGTCAATTTCCTGGGAAAATTAGTTAAACCCATTCTTCAGTTTGTAAAAACGCAAATATACAATGGAAATATATAGGTTAGGAATGTGGTGTAATATTTTGCATTCAATATTGACAGTTTTGCAGGTCAGACAAGTTTTAATCCAATAGAATGAATGGTACACTTTACAATAATGTTCCATCTGTTAACATTAGCAATTAAAAATACATTTGTAAATCATAGTTAGTTCATTTCTACATTTTTCAATACATTAATAAAATTAAAAGTTGTATCTGTTAATATTATTTAATGGAGCTGACTGAGCTAACATGAACTAACAGTGCACATTTGTATTTTTATTAACTAACGTTAACAAAGATAACTAGTTATCTAATGGGACCATTTTGTAAATAAGCTTTACATTTCTTCTTTTAAACACCCAGAATTCCTTGCCTTATAGGCTCGCTTGTGATTTTGGTTTTCTTTATTGTTATTTTATTTTTTTCTACAAAGTGAGGGACAATATTTTCTTTGATAATTGACTCCAGTAGACAGGGTCAGTAAGATAAAAGGCATTTCAAATAAAAATAGAAACAAAAGATTTCTATTTCGTATAAATTCCATTTGGAAAAATTCATCAAATTATCACTGTTTCCACCAAAAATATTAAGCAGCACAACCGTTTTCAACATTGATAATAAAACTAAATTTTAATTGAGCACCAAATCAGCATATTAGAGTGATTTCTAAAGGATCATGTGACACTGAAGACTGGAGTAATGATGCTGAAAAATTCAGCTTTGGTGTCATAGGAATAAATAAAAACTTTAAATATAATTAAAATTGCTAACAATTATATTAAATAGGAATGATATTATAACAATATTACTGTTTTTACTTGTATTTTTCATCAAATAAATGTAGCCTAGGTGAGATGACTTTCAAAAACATTAAAAAAAAATCTTACCAACCCCAAACTTTTAAAAGGTATGGGTACATTATAGGACATAAATAACTTCTCTAGTCGTGTGCTGAATAGTGTCTTTTTCACCAATAGACACGCAGATCCATAGAGAAGCTATTGGAGTGGGAAAACTGCAGATTGTATCACAAGGTACGTAGAAGGTCGTGTGTTTGTTTGGAGTTTGTGTTTTACCGTCGGGTGCTAATTTTACGACATGTTCATTTAGCTGTGTTTGCATTGGAGGCTCAGCAAAAGGAAGTGTGAAACCAACAACATGATGGAATATGTAAGCCAACTACAAACACACACCTAAAACTATTTGAGCTGTTCCAAATAGAATAAATCGTACTTATGAAAAGTGTAAATTCACCTCCACCGTTTCTCTCCATCCTATTTATAGGTCATCCAAATAGAGTTCCTTCCCAAGATTCCCATCTTCCGGCCGGATTAGCAGTGGCGGGCCATAGCTCATCCCTCCGGCGTGGTCTTCCTGAGGTGCCTTTCTCCGGTACTGTCATGGTTTTATCATGTGGCCTCGTCTCTTTTCCCTCCACACTCTGAGCAAGAGACTCGCCTCACGTCCGAGCGCCACTCACAGCACTCCTCACTGAGAAAGCACTGTTTACAACCCACAAACACACATACCGAGGCACACGTCTGTGCCATTTTGGTTTCGCGAGTGCATGAATACACACTGAGGGACCTTTACTGTCACATGACTACACGGAGCCTGCGAGGAGGCCACGGAAAGTAACTTCTGAAACTGGAAACGTCTACTATACCATAATCACATCACACTAACTAAGCGACTTCCTGTTGCCGACAACATCACTGTGGAGCGAATCAGTGAAGAATGGCTTGAGGAAGTGGCGGCTGTAGAATTAAACCTTTCCTGTTAATTAAATAAAAAGATGGATGGTAGGAACGATTAATACGGATTTTCAGTTAGCTGAAAGCCAAATGGATACGGTCAATGCACAATACATAGTTCTCCATCTCTCCTTATCACAAATCATCATCTATATACAAAGACAATCAAACACTGACTGTGCCACGCACCATCTAGACTCTGACGGGACTTTTGAGTCTAGTGGAAGTCATGGATCTGATGCGGTCCAAGTTCACCAATGGGTAGTGACGCAGCACAGATTAGATTTCTTTTGCTGGGTTTTTTTTGGAGCATTTTTTATCTTTGTTTACTTGCTCAGTTTAAAAAGACGAGCAGCAAATGTTTGTCTCTTGATTTGTGTGTGGAGGTGATTGTTTCTGTCTGTCCCTGAGATATTTTGTTCACAAGTGAGACAAATCAAAACATTTATAGGTTTGTTGGGTCATTGGAAAAGTTCAACAATTCATTTTAACTAATTACTGGGAGTCAAACTAAATGATAATAAAATAAAATATGAACCCACAAATATAGGATTTTCTCCAGGGCAGAAAGACTTTATTTCTACTTTTTTTTTAATTTAATCTTTTTCACTTCATTTTTTTCATCTTTGTTTCAATCCTGGGTCAGGTGTGAAGACTAAGCAAGTCCTATGCAGGCATTTTCTCTTAGTGAACTATACTTGTGTAAATGTATCCAATTGTAGGTTAATAAAACCGTTATGTCCCAATACTCAATAAGACAATTGGTCCTATTAGGTCTCAAAACCTGAAATTTATGAAGTGTGTGTGTGAATACTGAATATTATTACTGAAATTACAATGGCCCTATCTCTTGTCTGATGTCATCCTAAATCCCAGGGACATCGTCTTTATTTTTCAAAAAATATTTCAGTGTATTTATGTACAATGTGTACAGAAATAAAACATGCCCAACTTGATTTTTGTTTTTTTCCATTTACTTCTGAATTTATGCCTATATTTTGATGTCTATATAGTATATATTGAATTCAAAAGATTTAATATCAAATTTATTAACCACAATTATTGTGGACCAGTCTGTCTTAAAATTATACTTGTTAATTAATACTCTTCCCATTAGAGGTTTATGAATCTCAAGTATTAAACAACAGTATGACCTGATGACCAGTCATTATGAAATGAGCGAAAAAAAATAGTCTGCTCTTGTAGATGGCCTCTTTCATGGTGTGCTAAAAACTCTCCAAATATTTTCGCTTGTATTCATCATTTGCAAGTCGCTTTTGATAAACGATAAATCAATAAATGTAAATACCATAGCTTTCAATTTTGAGTAAATAAATACCATAGGTTTAGTTTTTTAGTGGGAAAGCATCATTAAAATGTCTTCCGAGAATGTAAACACCTAACTGTATCCCCACAATTTCAAAATTTTGCTGCTATTATTAGATAATGCAGTGAGCTGTACACAATTTAAAAACCAATAGTAGCGTCTTTAACTTTAAATAGGTACAAAGTCAATGACAATCATCTCTCAGACACAGTAAGACATCTATATTGTAAAAGACCTCAGTTACAGACAGCGAATTTAGACAGTGAAACAGTGCGTTGAAGCAGCTCTCACTCCTCCCATGTGTCTCCATATATATTCTTCTTCCCTGTTTACAAAAAAGAAATGTATAATTAGTGCTGTCAAACGATTAAAATATTTAATCGCATTAATGTCATAGTTAACTCGCGATTAATCGCAATTAATGCAAATTTTTATCTATTCTAAACTTCTCTTGATTTCTTTTTGTCCCATAGTTTTTTTTTCTCATTTTAATGCTCTTATCAACATTGAAAAGTGTATCGGCTTGCTTTGTGCAAATGTTTTTTTATTGAAAACAACATTGGCATTTACTGTGTTCAAATTCACACTAACATTCTCACTTGGAGCAAGTAATTTCTCACACAATGTAACTGTCCATCAATAAAAGGGTGAAAGAAATACTGACGAGGTCCTGAAATTTACGAGGGGGCGGAGAATTCGCATCAGCTGTGTGTGTGATTTCAGACTGGACGTGCTGCGATGATGATAGCTCAGTTCACAACGACACAACACACAGATTACTTTGGTCTTGTCAATGGAACCATTTGGCAACTTTTTAAAAGTAAACTTTCCATTCAGAATCTTATTGGCATCCATTTCGGCGTCTCGCGCTCGTCATCCACTCAAAACGTAACGTTAACCAAATATTTGGCCGGCTCGCAAGCCCAAACAAGTGTGTGCGGCGTCGTGCCTGTTGTTTTGTTTGTAAGTGTAAGAGACTGATCGATGGATGACAGTGTTTACACATGAAGATGCCACTTAAATACATCACCAGCATCACTGCAGTGTGTTATGAATTACTTAAAAATGTAATATTGCAGGGGGGGAACCACTTTTTCTGGGCCAGCAGGTAAAACGGTTCCCCCTGTGTGTTCAGTGTAAGAGACGGATCGATGGATGACAGTGTTTACACATGAAGATGACACTTAAATACATCACCAGCATCACTGCAGTGTGTTATGAATTCCTTAAAAATGTAATATTGCAGGGGGGAACCACTTTTTCTGGGCCAGCAGGTAAAACGGTTCCCCCTGTGTTCTCAGTGTAAGAGACTGATCGATGGATGACAGTGTTTACACATGAAGATGCCACTTAAATACATCACCAGCATCACAGCAGTGTGTTATAAATACTGAAAATGTACTATACAGAACCACTTTTTCTGGGCCTTCAAGTAGACGAATATCATAAAATAACATAAATGAGAATAACAACACAGATTACTTATTTGTGCAGTGCAATATAGTTTATTTATGTCTACAGCAAACCGACACACACGCAGTAATAAAAATAATAATAAAAAGAACGTATAACTAGAATTAGCAAGTGCGATGTAACGTTATCTACATCCGATTGAGCCATAAACATCTGAAAATATACATTCTATGCTTTAAAACCTGTATGTAATTGCAGATTATCTAACAAACAGAGTAAAATGTACATTACTGTGATGGAGAATAAGTAAAAACACCGCGATGCACAATCATTGCACAATATATGGCTAGGAGTTTGCGCGGAATAATGACGTGAGATCATGATTTTCGTCTTGCTGTTGCGCATGCGCGCTGAAGGGGAAACGGGAACAGAATTTTCCGGAACACGGTCTACTCTAGCTAGATCCGCTTGCGCTTTGGTCGACGAAGCAACAAAACGTCCTTGCGCAGCGCAAGCCATTGAAATGAATAGGTTTCATAGTGCAGCGCCGCGCATGCCGCGTCCTGTTGCAAAAGCATGTGAAAAAAACTACGAAATTTGCTAGGCCAAACGCGTTAATCGCGCGATTAAAAAAATTGACGCCGTTAAAATGGGTTTGCGTTAACGCCGTTAATAACGCGTTTAACTGACAGCCTTAGTATATATACACATCATGTAGGCAAAAAAGAGGTTTTTTTTTTTACTAATATAAGTACAAAACACTATTCTTATATATACTATATACACTCACCGGCCACTTTATTAGGTACACCTGTCCAACTGCTCGTTAACACTTAATTTCTAAGCAGCCAATCACATGGCGGCAACTCAGTGCATTTAGGCATGTAGACATGGTCAAGACAATCTCCTGCAGTTCAAACCGAGCATCAGTATGGGGAAGAAAGGTGATTTGAGTGACTTTGAACGTGGCATGATTGTTGGTGCCAGAAGGGCTGGTCTGAGTATTTCAGAAACTGCTAATCTACTGGGATTTTCACGCACAACCATCTCTAGGGTTTACAGAGAATGGTCCGAAAAAGAAAAAACATCCAGTGAGCGGCAGTTCTGTGGTCGGAAATGCCTTGTTGATGCCAGAGGTCAGAGGAGAATGGCCAGACTGGTTCGAGCTGATAGAAGGGCAACAGTGACTGAAATAACCACTCGTTACAACCGAGGTATGCAGCAAAGCATTTGTGAAGCCACAACACGCACAACCTCGAGGCGGATGGGCTACAACAGCAGAAGACTCCACCGGGTACCACTCATCTCCACTACAAATAGGAAAAAGAGGCTACAATTTGCAAGAGCTCACCAAAATTGAACAGTTGAAGACTGGAAAAATGTTGCCTGGTCTGATGAGTCTCGATTTCTGTTGAGACATTCAGATGTTAGAGTCAGAATTTGGCGTAAACAGAATGAGAACATGGAACCATCATGCCTTGTTACCACTGTGCAGGCTGGTGTTGGTGGTGTAATGGTGTGGGGGATGTTTTCCTGGCACACTTTAGGCCCCTTAGTGCCAATTGGGCATCGTTTAAATGCCACGGCCTACCTGAGCATTGTTTCTGACCATGTCCATCCCTTTATGGCCACCATGTACCCATCCTCTGATGGCTACTTCCACCATGTCACAAAGCTCTAATCATTTCAAATTGGTTTCTTGAACATGACAATGAGTTCACTGTACTAAAATGGCCTCCACAGTCACCAGATCTCAACCCAATAGAGCATCTTTGGGATGTGGTGGAACGGGAGATTCGCATCATGGATGTGCAGCCGACAAATCTGCGGCAACTGTGTGATGCCATCATGTCAATATGGACCAAACTCCCTGAGGAATGCTTCCAGCACCTTGTTGAATCTATGCCACGAAGAATTGAGGCAGTTCTGAAGGCAAAAGGGGGTCCAACCCGTTACTAGCATGGGGTACCGAATAAAGTGGCCGGTGAGTGTATATATATTAATACAGAAACTCTTCCGCGTGGAGGTACGGCCCCAGGCAAAAGCTCAATGGCACAGTCGCCAGCACGGTGAGCGGGAAGATGAGAAGCTTAATTTTATGGTCAGGACAGAATATATTAATATTTTTATTCAGCAAGGATGCATTAAATTGTAACATAAAATATATATGTTTCAAATAAATGCTGTTCTTTTGTACTTTCTATTCATCAAAGAACCCTGAAAAAAGTATTCAGTTTCCATAAAAATATTAAGCAGCACAACTTTTTTCAACATTGATAATAAGAAATGTTTTTTTGCGAACCAAATTAGCATATTAGAATGATTTCTGAAGGATCATGGAGTAATGGCTGCTAAAATTTCAGCTTTGCCATCATAGGAATAAATTAAATTAAAAACAGTTAGTTTAAATTGTAATAATATTTCACAATGTTACTGTTTTTACTGTATTTTTGATCAAATAAATGTGGTTTTGGTGAACATGTGTGCTGTGTTACCGGTGCTCTGTGTAACCGGTGTTCTCTCTAACCACTCTGATGTCAAAGGTCAGAAGTATTAACTTTTATATTCTCCATGTATATTTGAGTTTTTAGTTTAGTGGACAAAAAAAAATTGTTGCAACACAATTGGGCTGTGTCTGAAATCGCCCCCTATACCCTTAAATAGGGCACTATTTGAGGGGACAGACATTTGTAGTGGTGTCCGAAACCATAGTTGGCGTTATTGAGTGCACTCGTTCAATCCCATAATGCACCACAATAACGAGTGTACAACTGATGTACACTCAACTGCTAGAGAATACCCATAATGCACTGTGAGGTTCGTACTGAAAGAATCATCCATACATTCATTTTCCACTTGTCCAATGTGGGTACAGTGTAATATCACACAGGTATAAATTCCTCTTTAATTGATTATTAAATGTTTAATTAAAGTTTATACATAGTTTCCATGACAGACTTCAAGATAAATCTTTTTTATTACTACTGGAGCAGCCAGTTTGCTAAGTTTTAAATTATTATTAAACTTTTCATTCACTCCTTCAAGTAAACTATTATTAGTGGACTAATGTAGGGAATAGAGAATGATGGTATAGGTGGCGATTTCGAACACAGCTCTAGTTAGGACGTTGGATAGTATATTGGCAGGTCTCACCTGTCTTGGTTGGGGTGGAATCGGCCGAAGACTTCGGCAGTGCGTCTGGTTTCATTGTGACTTCATAGTTTTCCCTGTTCTTGCTCTGTAGGTCCTTGTATAGAACATGTTTCTTCTGTGCATCATCCTCAATGTAAGATGATTCTGCTGGATTCGAGGGAAGGTTTTAAATAACACACACTCAATGGCAGGGAAGGGCAAACACTAGGTGCATTCACAACATGTAATTACTGTAATTACCAGATTTCAACTTGTAAAACGCATTCACATCCTCGTAGAGCTCGTAATTTCAACTAGGAAGCTGTGAATTTTTGAAGAGCTTCTATTTGTACCACATGCCCGCTGCAGATTAATTTGGCCATTGATAGTGTTGTCTTAGAAATGCATAATTCCCAGTCTGATGACGAATGAACAGAACGTCACGCGTTGAAATAACACGTGACTAGGGGTGTAACGGTACACAGAAGTTCGGTACATACTTCGGTTTTAGGGTCACGGTTCGAAACGTGTTCGGTACATTTACATGTCCTGCCTCCCTAGATTTGATTGCTTAAAGGGATACTCCACTTTTTTTGGAAATAGGCTCATTTTACAACTCTCCCAGAGTTAAACTGTTGAGTTTTACCGTTTTTGAATCCATTCAGCCGATCTCCGGTTCTGGCGGTACCACTTTTAGCATAGCTTAGCATACATCATTGAAGTGGACAAGACCATTAGCATTTCTAAAAAAAAAAAAAAATGACCAAAGAGTTTCGATATTTTTCCTATTTAAAACTTGACTCTTCTGTAGTTACATCGTGCACTAAGACCGATGGAAAATGTAAAGTTGCAATTTTCTAGGCTGATATGGCAAGGAACTATACTCTCATTCCTGCGTAATAATCAAGAAACTTTACTGCCGTACCATGAGAGCAGCAGGCGTAATGATATGACACAGCGCCTGAAAATAGACCCCAGCTCGGTAACTTCCAACGTGACCTATTTTCAGGCGCTGCGTCATATCATTGCGCCTGCTGCACTGATTATTATTTTTTTGCTTATTTTAACTGGCCCATCCAGTTTTCTGGAGGCCCACCTACAATCAAATTCCTGGCGCCGCTAGTGGCTCCAACCCTGTTAAAACCCTGTAGCTTTCTAGTAATCCTGAAGACCTTGATTGGTTCAGGTGTGTATGATTAGGGTTCGAGCTAACCTTTGCGGTACAGTGGTCCTCCAGAATAGTTTGAGGTTGAGGTTGAGGAACTATTCTACTGTTTAAAAATAGGCTAAGTAATAACTAAGATCTCCAGCAAATGTTAAGGGTAATAAGACCTACAGCAGTTTTTAATGCAAATAAATGATGGCACTTTAACTTGCCTGTAATTTGGGTGCCAGAGTGGTTTGTTGAATGCATGGGGTTAGTGTTAGTGAAATCACTGGCATAGGAGGCCGACTGATCCCTCTGATCATCAAGCTGAAAGACTGGCTCAAAATCAGCTTTGTTTGGATCACTCAACCCTGGCTGCTCACTAGTAAACCTGGAAAAAAAAACAATAAAAATTTCTTCCAAATGTCTCTTCCAAAACATCACTCCTTTTATTTAAAATTACGATAAAATGGAAATAGCAGCTGATCTTTTGTTCTGCATTGTTAGGCCCTGTTTACACCTGGTATTAAGATGCGTTTTGGTCGATCGGATCACAAGTATCCCGTTTACACCTGGTATTTTAATCCGTCTCTTTTGGCCACTTTCAACCACTTCTGACCAAATTTATTTAAACGAAGGATCTATGGGTGGGTAAATGTAGTTTTTTTCAGATATTTCGATCTAATGGACAAAATAAGCTCACGTGATTTACATATGAATGCGCCGCCCAGAGAGGACTGAAAACACACGGAGAGAAATAGCTTTTGTTTCTGCTCTGATAGCCGCAAGACCATGTCAAATGCTGTAAATGCGTGTTAGAAATCAGGAATGGTGAGAGAACATTGTGTTTTGTACGTTTTTCGTCTTCAAACCAAACTTGGGTCTCCCTGTCTTGACATCTTAATACCAGGTTTAAACGGTTCCTGAGATGTAGGCATTACACTCAAAAATGGAGGTATACAAAAGCTATATAAAAAATCTGGCATACGTCAGCAGTCATTTTCACCATAAGGTCCAGTTATGACATTTAGATTAAAGTCCCTGTAAAGGCAATTCAAAAAAAAAAATCTAAACACATTATAAATGTTAGAAATGTATTGCTAAAACATATTACAAAGACTTTGAACTGTGAAGTACTGAATTGTGGAGTTAGACCATTAAACAGTTTTTCACCATTGCTTACTTTGGTGGTTGGTGGTGCTGTTTCTGTCTCAGTGCCTCCCCTAGTGGTGAATTCTCCAAGCTCATAAACTTCTCCTGGCATGTCTTCATGTATGATATCTTCCCTCCAAGGTACCCACAAACACCAGCAACTAACACATACATACACATACAAGATGTACATACATATTTTTAACATTCAGTCTAACAATAAACCATCTCGCAGTTACATGGACAGTAAATTTTACTCACAAACTACTTTAGGCAATGATCCAAATCTGCCAGAGGACGTAAGAGCTCCTATAAAAATGAAATCAAAACATTTACATTATTGTTTAAAGGTTTGGTTTCGGGTAAGATTCTCAACAAACCCACCTCTAGAAATAAGGAACTGAGTGAAGGCCATGCTGGTGGCAGATATAGGGAGAGCTGTATGTACAGTATGTAAAGACAGAAACATAAATCAGTTATGATATCAATAAAACCACAAGCATAATAATGGATAAAAACACTGAACATCTACTCACATCTATACCAGAAGCTTTCCTGGTTGCATTCCCTGAACACCTTCCTCTCCTCCTCAGTGGGGTTGTAGTCAATTCCAATGGGACCCTACATACACATATTGAAACATATCATGTTCATATATATATGTACACGTACACACACACACATGAATATCAAGTTTTCTACAGCTCTCTAAATGTGATTAATATTTTAAATATATTATACAGTAATAACAGTATATAAATATGTATCATTAAAGTATTTATTTACTAATAACAAAGAATAATAGTACTATAGTATAATAATAATAATATTATAGTAATATCCAGAAAATTGTATAATGGTAAGACAGATGAGATCTAGCATGCATTCATGCATTATGGTGCATAAGCAGGTCTACTGATTATGTGACGCAATAGTGGAGACCAACAGCATTCAGCATTACAATGCATAACCTGGCTAAATCAATCTATCCTTTTCTTTCTTTTTAAGTGATATCTTGTTACCAAACACACCAAGGCTGCATTCCCTGGGCGTCCAGGGTCCGCTGGAGACTCCTGGGACATTGTGCATCCTATGTCTTTGGCTGTTGCTGCTCTCCAGTTAATGTCAAATCTACGGGAACCTTCTTCCTCGACTGTTCCGTAGGAGTTCATGGTGACCAGCTGTTAGTGCCATCATGCGGTTTGACATGGAATAGCTACAACTTTCAAAATGGTCGTAAAACATTTCACACCAAACTATACGAACGCGTTTTTCAAATAAAATAACATATTGGATCATCATCGACGAACTTCTGGTCGTCAGGTACAACCTTGTAGTGTTAATGCCTCAATGATGCCTGACGGGATGCTGTTATGGGGTCGAGTAGTAAATGTTCACAAATGTGACAGTTTTGTGTCATGATGTGTTCGTAGTTCAGTGCAGTGGTTGGTAAAATCGATACTTTTATTCAAAAAGAATGCATTGAATTGACCAAACGTGATAGTAAAGACATTTAAAAGATTTCTATTTTAAATAAATGCTGTTGAGCTTTTTATTCATCAAATAATCCTGAGGGAAAATAATGTTTATACAAAAATATTAAGCAGAACTGTTTTCAACAGTTTAATGATGCTGAAAATTCAGCTTTGCCATCACAGAATAAATTACACAATAAATTAAATAAAAAAATAAATTGATTAAAATAGAAATCATTTATTTCATTGTAATGATATTTCACAATATGACTGTTTTTATTGTCTTTTTGACGAAATACTAAATGCAGACTGTAAAAAAATGAATGTAATTTTAACTGTATTATTGTGGAAAAAACGCAATGGGAAAGAAACTGTTAATAGCAGTAAGTAGGCACCAAATGTTTGTAAATTACTGTTTTATGCTGTAAAATTTAAACGTTGTTCTGTAAATATGAATTAGTACTGTATTATTATAGAATTATTCTGGCAACCACAGCTGGCACAGCTTTCTTTTTTTTCTTTTTTTTACAGTGCAGCCTTGGTGAGCAGAAGAGTCTTCTTTCAAAAAAACATTAGAAAATCTCACTGACCCCCAGGCGTTTAAATGGTATCTGAATGTCATAATGTATTAACAGATATGTTTGTATGCTATTCTGACATTCTTTATCAATGCTCTGGTGGTTTTAGAACTGGACTGAAACCAGCTGGTGGCTCCATTAGTCTAAACTGGGAAATCAGTTATTCAGTGATCGATCAGCTCCAAACAGAATGATATTGCTCCTCTCCTTTTCAGGTCACAGGGTCTGTCTGTTTGTTAGACTATTTTTAGCCTACATTCTATTTTCACTTTCATTTTTAGTGTAGACTGTTTGTCAGTTTATCTAATGCATGATAAGAATAATAAAAAATATTAGAATAATATACTAAACTTCATGATAAGGAAATGTTTATTTTGATATCAAACATTTTATACAAACCTTTAGATTAATCTGTGCTCATTTACACTTCTAACTTGTTTTATTTCACTGCGTTCTGTGGATACACTAATTGTACTTTAAATAAACTTCAGTCTATTTAGTCTCTCTAGATTTTACATTTAAAATAGGTGAAACCATGGTTTCTATTGTGACAAATGGCCCCATATGCTCTATTGGGGGATGCTGTCATAATATTCACATTCAGTCTTTGTAAAGTATCATTTTGATGCAAAAAGTGTGAAAACTGGTTTCATATGATCTAATATCGCTATAATTAATAGCTACATACTAGTGTAGCTAATACACTTAATGAGTGCTTTTAAACCAGTAGAGAGCACTGCAATTTCACTCTGAAGTCACAACTTCCTCTTCAAAGAGAGATTTGGTGTATGAAAAAAAAAACAACTAGGAACAAATCTGAAGTACAAACTTGTATTCTAGACTAATATAAGTCCTAATATGACATCTATGTAAATATATTAGGGACGATTGTTTCCCCCAGAGCCCTGTGAGGACTGACCATTTGTCCAGGTAGTTTCCTTGCGTACAGACCGAAATTCTGGAATAGGCTCCAGCATCCTTGCATCCACATGTAGTTTGGAAAATGGATGGATGAATGGATGTTTTCCCCATTGTCATAATAAAGATCTCATTCATTCAGAAACTGATTGTCATGTGATCTATGCGGATGCAGGGTCAACAGGAATGTTCATGTATTGATCAGTGCCCTAGATTCAGGGTTCACACACACACACACACACACACATACACATTCGTTTTTTGTTCTCAGTAGAGGACATTTTGCTTTTTTAATTCTCGGAAACCATACATGTCACAGTTGTAAATCTGGTGTATCTTAAAGAGGGAATGGGCTGTTCAGTGATTCCCGTTTTGGGGGATACAACCTCTCATAGTTCTTTAAAAATGTCTGACCATTCACAGTTCAGCTCATTTTATGGAAGAATAAAATTAGGTGAGTTATTTTGGCAACTTTTAAATTATTTTGTAACTTTGTACAATTTAAATGTATCATATAAATGTAATATATTTTAAATTGTAATACAGAAAGAAATATGTTACACGACAAAGTTTTAAGTGTTATTTTAGTATCATTCATATTTTCTTATGTTTTCTATTTTCATTTTAAGTTAAAGTTTTAGTCATTTTGTTGTTTTTGTCATTTTTATTTATTAATATTATTTTTCAGTTTTATTTTAGTTTGGTGCATGTCAAACTGAATGAAAATGAGAAATGTTGTTTTTTTTAAAATATGAAATGTAGTTTTTATTTATTTTATTTTATTTCAGAAACAAAAATGTGTGTGTGTGTGATGTTTTTTTGAAAATGTGAAAAAGCAGAAAGTTTTCTGTGAAGGGTAGGTTTAGGGGTAGGGTTACATGTAAGGGGATAGAATATACAGTTTGTACAGTATAAAAATTATTATGTCTATGGAGAGTCCCCATAAAATGTGACAACACAACATGTGTGTGTGTGTCATAGAAACAATTGTGTAGTAACATCACAGGTTTCTTATTAGGACTTTCATATCCCAAACATTAAAATCCAGACTCCTTCGCACAGTCATTAGCTGATGCCACACGTGGACACTTTGAACCATGTGCATAAATGGACACACACACACACACACACAGACTCCCTATACCCAGAGTGTTATCACTGACGTGGTAAACCTTGTACAGGGGAATCCTAAATGCGCTGCTGGGCGTTTATAAATGCCACTGACTGAGCAGAGGTTGTTGGACTGAGCCACTCTGAACAACAGCAGAACTGAAACAGATCACCTGGACACGTGTGTCTCATCGAGTGGTCTCCTTCAAGACAAGTGCTTGTGTTCTTGGCTATAGTTTTGTCAGTTATGGTCTACGAGTAACTACCTGTGCACTGGGTTCAGGTGAGACAGGTAAAGAGGGAACACGGTTCAGACCATAGATAAGTCACGTATTGAACTCGAAGGCAGGTGAAGTGGGCTAAACATAACCACGCACGCGGCTGAAAGATTCGGAAGAGTTTGGACAGCTTTAGCTTTGAGAAACTACACCATCAGGTGAGTGCTTTGCGAAAATGCCTTTATTCAATGATATTTTTAAAAACATTTCAAGTAATATGTGGTGACACTTTACAAATAAGGTCACATTAGTTAACGTTGGTTAATGCATTAACTTTAAATAATGATATTAACTAACAATATGTTTTAATGTTATAGTTAATAGTTCATACAAATATGACTTTCATTGTTAGTTCATGTTAACTCCATTACAAAAATTAACAGATACAGCTTTTGATTTTAATAATGTATAAATGTTGAAATTAACAAAGAATAATAAATGCTTTCTAATATATAAATGATCTATTAATTCAAATCATCTTAATAATTGTCATTGAATTATATGTTAACACACTTCATTAATTTATTCATTTCATTCTTTTTAAGAAAATACTTAACACTTTCTATTATTCCAGCCAAATAGTTGTACCATTCTTTAAAAGCTTTAAAACAACAACCTCCAAAAGATGAAATTCTGTTGTACCATTTACATTAATATTTTAACATTCATTTGATTTTTGTATATAGCCAATAACATAAGATGAGCCACGTATCATTCACATTCTGTTCATTGTCAGTGCTGAAGCCAGTGCGGAAATTGTTTGGCACAGTACAGAAATCAATATAAAACCATGTGAGTTTAATCAATCGAGGAAGCTCTGATTATTGAGAAGCCCTGTGTGTTGTGTCCATTTACTTACAAAAACCAAATAGGGTGAATTCAGGATTATTGGGACACTTTTCCCCAATCATCTCACTGGCAAAAAAGTGTCCAAACTGAATTAAACCTACCAATCAAAAATTTGAACCTTGAATTTTTTGTCATTGATTGTAATTCTTATAATGAATCATTTATCTGAAAGATAGAAATCCATTACAGAAATCTTAATAAATAGTTCAATTTTATCTTTCATATCATATCTTATTTTTTCCACACCAATAAAACAATTTCATAAACATAAAACACCCTTTTATCTTTATAGATCCTGACTGGATTATCACTGTGAGCATCGTGAAAATGGCATTCTTAGATAACATTGCCATTACATTTGTACAGTAGAGAAGATGCCGCAGGCGATTACAAGCTATATTTAGTCCATTAAACATTAAAAGGCATCAATAAAACGGTGACAGAATTTATATTTATATTTCACAGACAATGGCACCGCGACCAAAGCAAGAGGATGAATCTGAGGGGAAGCCAACAGAAACACTTGACGGTATGAACAGTGAACATCTGAGTATAAATCGTAAATCTAAACAAACCTCATTTAAAAAAGTTTCTCTCTCTTTCCTTCACATGTTCTCTTAGTTCCCCGAAAGAAGTCTCTCTCCATGGCCCCTGCTCTTTCCACAGCAGCTCTGATTGAGGATGATCCCTGGGACATGGCAGAATTGCAGGACACAGGGGTTAAATGGGCAGGTATGCTGAATTGGCAGTGATTTTCACTGACCTTACCAAAAGCTTTACTATACAATTTTTTTTTTTTATTATTTTTTTTTTATGAAGCCTATACTGCATCATCTCATTTCTAAGGCCTTTAAACTATCAACATGGCCAAAACCTGTTGTAAAATCTTCTGCATGCCTCAAAAAAAAGCATTTTAGCATAATTATAAAAATGTCAACCTTCAAGTAGTGGTACAAGTCTTTTTGCTGTGAAAACGTTACTGATTTGAAGTAAACTTTTATATTGTTATTAATATTTCAAGATACACACTGACTGGACTGAAGCAACTTAGGTTGTCTTTATTATCCATATATCGTTAAAAAGCATGTTCAAATGTGAGTATCAAATATGATACATTGGGCTTTTGAGGGACGTTTCTTTGTACATCATTGTATGGCATTAGATTATATGTTTTGTCTGCCACAATACAAACTAGAGCTTTGATCATAAAACTAAAAATAATCTGACATGTTGTTGGGAGATATGAGATAAGTGACAACTGATATGTGTATTTTATGTAAGCAGTCTGTTATATAAAAATCCATTAATTTACATCAGAATTCCATATTCATTTGTGGCCATATATATCAGCAACTGCACCAAACTGTAAATACTAGCCTATACCTGTGGCAAAATTGTTGCAAAAAGCAAAATACGTACATATCACTGCAGTTTCTAACAGAAATGAACAGCAGAGGCGTAATAAAACGTTGCCATATTCACGTTCATCTGTTCCGGAAAAGAACTTAACACGCTTGTAGCGCCACCCACTGGACATGTCACGTTGAAACTTAAACACGACGCAAAGTATTTTTTTCTTTTTCTAATGGGCCTGGGCTGATATATTTTCTTAGTTTGGTCCTCTGAATAAAACTGTATTTTGTTCACTTCTCGAATGTGAGCTCTATATTCTTCTCACTATGAGCCATGATTTTTAAAAAACATTTAGTTGGTTTTGTTTTAAAAAATTTGGTTTGACTGACTATTATTTCATATGCCAGGCTTCACATAATGCTTTCTGTCTGTAAATTGTCTAGATCTGGACACCAAAAGGAAGATCCTGAGAGTTCTAACCACAATAGCCAAATTTATTGTGCTGATTGGTTTGCTCTACATGTTTGTTTGCTCACTGGACATCCTCAGCTCAGCTTTCCAGCTTGTTGGAGGTAAACTCTATGAATGCTCTTTATTGCTGTCTATAGGTTTCATATTGAGGATGCATTTATTCATATCAGTGCACTGGATTCGTGGTTCTCTAGGGTTCATCCAAAAATGAAAATTCTGGCATCATTATCGCACCTCCTGTTGTTTCAAACTTGTCTTTCTTCTGTGGGACTTAAAAGAAGATATGTTGGTAACCAAACAATTTGGATCTCATTGACCCATGTGGACAAAAATACATCAGGGGTCAATGGGAACCAAAACTGTTTGGTTAGTGTAACCGCTCAGAGCAGGATTTGAACCGGGGTCGCCAGCATGGGAGGTGGGCACGCTGAGAAGGACGCTAAAGACCTCAGATGCTACGTCAGTCGCTAGCGCACCTCTTGAGGGCAGGGGAGTGAGGTTTACACGCACAGATCTTACTGGCCTACGTCCGTTACTAGCAACATTTTTCTAAATATCTTTTTTTATGTTCCACAGAAGAAAAAATCATAAAGATTTGGAACGACATGAGGGTGAAATGATGACAGTATTTGCATTTCTGGGTGGACTAACCATTTAAATTAGCACACAGGCAGCTTTCCTTAAACCATGGCATCAGGCTAAGTCAACCTTTCTGGTTTTAAGTGGACCATTTTTTAAGACTACAAAGTTACTAAACTTGTTATGCGTAACAAGGATGTGTGTTTTCTCAGGAAAAGCTGCAGGGGACATCTTCCAGGAGAATAAAGTGCTCTCAAACCCTTTGGCAGGCCTGGTAATTGGGATGCTAGTAACTCTCCTAGTCCAGAGCTCCAGCACCTCCTCATCTATTGTGGTCAGCATGGTCTCGTCTGGATGTGAGTATCAAAACAATTCACATTTCAAATGGTCCTTTCTTTTAGTCTTCTTGAGCATAAATGCAAAATCTTTGAACAGAATTTAATCAAATTGACCTGAATCAGGATTTCAAATTTACAAATCTTGATGTAAATCCCACTTTAAATAAATAAATATAAACTACTTTTCAACAGTGCTGGATGTCTCAACTGCTGTTCCTATTATTATGGGGACCAACATTGGCACATCAGTCACAAATACTGTTGTAGCCATGACACAAGTTGGCGACAGGAACATGTTCCGCAGGTAAGAATAAGGCATTAATATAAAGTTCATAATGTGTAGAGCTGCTTATATCTGAGCTGAACTCGTTTCATAATTGACCTTCACACAGTTATTGAACTGAACTGAATCAACCTTGAACTGACCTGAATTACGGCACTATTAGAGTCTTTTTAGAGTTGGGGTTCTTTGCCACTGTCTGTTGCTTTGGCTTACTTAGTTGGGGTTTAAAAGACACGTAATATTCAGTAATATTGCATTATCGATTTGACTCCAGTTACACTATTGGATAGGTTATAAAAACTTGAACTGAATTGAGCTGGATGATGACACTATGGTCTTCTGCAGAGCTGGTTTATAGCTGAATCGACTTAGTTTCATAATTGATTCATTTTATAACATTGCCACTGTTTTAAAATGAATTAAACTGACTGCTTTGAATTTAACACATTTCTGATGATCTTTACACAGTTAATAAACTGAACTGAATCAACAGTGAACTGACTTGAAATCAATAATGACACTATTGTCTTTTCAGAGCTGCTTTACAGGTAGAATTCAAATTTGTCTCGTATTTGATGACGTTTGCATGATTGATTCTGTTATTTTCCTGTTTATTATTGTGACGCTGCTTTGAAACAATCTATTGTATAAAGCACTAAAGGTGACTTGACTTGACTTATTGTATCATGACTGGATAGAACATTACATGAAGCAGGAACTGATTTCATTTTTCAGAGAGAAATTCACTTAAAGGAACAGTTCACCCAAAAATGAAAATTCTGTCATCATTGACTTGAGGGATTAAATAATGACAGAATTGACAGAAAGATATTAATGATATTTAATTGAGATGTGACCCTTTTCTGTGTCCAGGGCATTTGCGGGAGCCACCGTGCACGATTTCTTTAACTGGCTTTCTGTCCTGGTGCTGTTGCCATTGGAAATTGCCTCAGGTTACCTGGTGAAGCTCACAAGCCTTATAGTGAGCTCATTTAATATCCAGAGTGGAGAAAATGCACCAGCCCTTCTGAATGTTATCACTGACCCTCTCACCCTCTCTATCATTGAGGTATGTATGAGTTCTGTCGGTATGTTGAAAGAAGCTAACATTAATGAGGACAAGAAGAGAGTGAATTACCCCACGCACACCTTATACTGCCCTTCTGTACAGTACAAAGTTACAAGAGATTAGAAGCATAATCATAATAATTAATTAATGCTTTTCATTTTCAGCTGGATGAGTCTGTGATAAGCGGCATTGCTATTGGAGACTCTGAAGCCAAAAACAAATCTCTCATCAAGGTCTGGTGCCAGACAGCCTCAAACACGGTAATTTTTCTAGCCGATGCAATGTGCCAGATATAAATAAATAAATACCATATTAGTTGGACATACTACTGGGGTTTACTGATTTTTCTGATGTTGTTTGTTTCTAGACTCAACAGAATGTGACAGCAGCAAATTGCAGTGCCTATCCTTGTTGGGAATTAAAAAATGTTACAGAAATTATAAACATAAAAAAATGTGAGTTTGAAATTGACACCCATTTTCATTGATATTGAGCAATAATTATGACTAAAGACACATACAGACGACAGCACTATACAGAAACAAGCAGAAACTCACTCATCTGTGGTCTCTCTCTATTCAAACAGGCAATCACATCTTTGTAAACGCAAACCTTTCTGACCTGGCGGCGGGTCTGATTCTACTGGCTTGTTCTCTGCTCGTCCTGTGCACTTGTCTCATTTTGATTGTGAAACTGCTCAACTCGATGCTCAAGGGCCAGGTTGCTGTTGTCATCAAGAAGATAATGAACACTGGTCAGCAGCATCCTTGAGATACATAAGAACCAGAGAGCAGATTTAGAAGTCAACTCCTGTTAAAATAAGAAAAAAAGAATCAACTGATCTATTTTATGACTGTTTGTTGATTTATTGTTTCTATGCACAGATTTTCCATTTCCATTTGCATGGCTGACTGGATATATTGCAATTCTGGTTGGAGCAGGAATGACCTTTATTGTCCAGAGCAGTTCTGTCTTTACCTCGGCCATAACTCCTCTTGTCGGTCAGTACAGCCATCTATCTATTCTTAGTCTTTTATTAAGGTATTATGATCAATTTTGTCAGTGATGGAATGTTGTTCAAAGTTTGGCATTATTTACTCACTCACCGACTGAATCAGTCTAATTGGTGAACGAATCATTCAAATTTGTTTTGTAAACCAGATCAACTGATTCAATGAAAAGATTTGTGAGAATGATTTATGAGTTAATTATTCATGTTCATGAACTGGGTGTTGCAACTGTACTTCTCTCACTTAAATTTTAGTCTGTTCCTCCCCTCAGAAGACTATAAATATACAAGTCAAAAGGGCTGCTTTTGTGCATAAATGTTTTGAAGCTTTTAAGCTGCAAATGTCCTTTTCAATGGCAAAAGTTTATTACAATTGCATGAAAAGAAAGTCATAACGGTTTGGAATGACATGAGGGTGAATAAACAATGCCCTAATTTTTAGCTTTAAGACAGTATATTTTTGTTCTGTATTACCTCTTTTTGTTTACCTATCTTGCTGTAAATTAATGGGAAATCAATTTGCCTGCTTTCTTCAAAGAACATTTGAGCGTATTTTACCATTTAACAACCAGAACTAGTAAAGCCTAGCTGTTGGAAGTTGACGTGTGTGTAAAGTGACACTTGTGTTTTTTCAGGTATTGGTGTTATAAAAATTGAAAGGGTATATCCTCTTTCCCTGGGATCCAATATTGGGACCACTACTACTGCAATATTAGCCGCCATGGCTAGTCCAGGGGAAAAACTTGAAAGTTCATTACAGGTTAGCATGACATGCAAATATATTCAAGCATAATCACAATCACTCATACACCCAGTCCATAACTTCATGATGTAACTCTTCTCTCCATTAGATCGCCTTGGTTCATCTCTTCTTCAACATCTCTGGGATTTTGCTGTGGTATCCAATCCCTTTCACACGTTTCCCCATTCGAATGGCAAAGGCTCTTGGTGAACTATCAGCCGAGTACCGTTGGTTTTCGGGCTTTTACATCATCTTCTGCTTCTTCGCTTTACCTCTATTTGTCTTCGGCCTTTCTTTGGCTGGTTGGCAGGTCCTTGTGGGGGTTCTTGTTCCCATAGTGGCTGTTCTGATCTTCGCTATCATTGTTAATATTCTACAGAAGCACAAACCTCAGTGGCTTCCTTCCGCTCTCCGGTCTTGGAGCTTCCTCCCTCTATGGGCCCACTCTCTTGAACCATGGGATAGAGTGGTTACCATAATAGCCGCTCGCTGCTGCTGTTGCTGCAAGTGCTGCAATGTTACGGAGGAAGATGAAGAGAAGGGAAAACATGAAAAAATGGATCATGGAATAGAATTGTATGATAATCCTAAAATGACTGATGAGATCAAGGAGGCCAAGAAAACATCAGACAATTGTGAAATCCTCAGGGCAACCTCTTTATAGAGTTTAACATAGCATTATGGGTTATTATTACTAAACATATCCAACTCAAACTGGATTAAGTTTTTTAAAACTTGCAGTTGACAGTAGGTTATATCAGTGGACTTGATGAACAGCAAGAATAAAGAGAAAACCAGTATATTTAATTTCACCATTTATTTTACTTCTTATATTGACATTTTTATACAAAGATGCTATTTTGTACAGGAAATTGTAAATGTTATTTTTAAATAATCTTATGTTACACTGTGAGATTTTGTGATTGCTCTTTTACTTGTGTCAGCATACAATGCATACATTTATTTTTAATACCTCTAGTTGGAAATAAACGCCGGCTTTCACTCAAACAAAGTCTACTGTAAAATCCGTTTTAAATCAGAGTTCAACTCTGCATTATTCTCCATTTCCTTTTATTTATGTAAACTTTATTTAACATGGGCCTTTGTATACTGTAAAATATTGCCATGATTTTACAATATTAAACCTTAATTTCTTGCAGTAAATTACTGTATTCATAATTGTATTAGTGTTACAAAACAACTTGCACTGTTATATGGGAAAATATTGACTTAAGTCTGATCATAATGTAGTCTATATGTTACTGTACAGTACTGCAAATTTTAACTGTACAGTACATACATAATATAATTTTTTATGAACAAGGAGGAATTAATTTTGTTATTGTTGACAAATCATTTTGTCATTCATTATGATTCTACAGGACAATGTCTTTATCATTTTCTGCTCCTTCGCTTTGAAGTCAGTTTATCTATTGTAATTTAACTGTAATGAACTGTAGAACTACTATTGTAAAAACTTACTGTGAAAGTATGACTAGATTGAAAGGAATATACTGCAAACCACACTAACATTTTAAGTGTAAACATTAAATATTTTTTCTTTGAAAGTATCTAATAGCTAGGAAAATATTGTAAATTCACACTTAACTTTTACAATGTGCACAACACAATTTAAAAAAATATAGATATTTCTAAAATCTGTGACCTATATATTTGTATTTTATAGTTTCTTGGGGATTTCAGGGGCAAATAATCAGGGCTCAAGCATCAGTCTTGTCTGGACCTGCCACGTACACTGTAAAAAAATATTATTGCTTTAACTTGGTTGCTTTACAATTTTAAGTTAATGAAATTAAAACATTTTGTTATTACAATGGAGATTGGTTTAATCAACAGAAACTCAAAATATTATGTTATCTGAACCGCATAAATTATCTAAGTTGATTTGACAAAAGAAAAAACGTGATAACAAATCATAAAAATATATTCTTTATAGTGTAATAACATTAAGTATTCAGAATCCAAAAATGAACTGAATTCATCCCTCCAAAGGGTTTCAAACACCCATGGTCAGATTACAGATGTTTTATACAATTGTGATTACTTCTCTCGTCTCATTGGTCACAAAATAATGTAAATGTGGAAGAAACTTTACCAATGAATTGAGAAATAGTCTTTTTCTGAACACTACACAAACTCACACTGCATACTTATTCTCTTGCTCACAAAAACAAATGTAACCAAATACACCACAGCCAGTTTCAAAAGGGAATTTTCATGGCAGCGATGCAGTAGAAGAATATTTTTTAGTTCCCCAAAGAACCTTTCAGTGAACCATTCTTAAAAGAACCGTGTTTTTCTTAGTGTGAAAGACAGCTTAAAAATCTAGAGAACATTTTTAAACTGTAAAGAACCTTTTGTGCAATGTAAAGGTTCCATGGATGTTAAAGGTTCTTCATGGTACTATAAATGCCTATAAAGTGAATAAACCTTTATTTTTTAGACTGCATGATGGTAGTGAGTCACAAACATATACTATTAAACCAGTGTGAAAACAGAATCCTGCTTTTGGAACGTTTCATCTGTAAATTTTTTAATTAAAGTTGATTAATAAAAACTGATCAGATGTGATTTTTTGGGTCTATAAAAGAAATATCATCCTTTTTTTTAACCTCAGCAAATCATATCGTCCTTGTCATCCCTCGTTTGCTGATTTGTGCAATATTACATACATCAACATTATCGCTTCCTCTATCATAGTTAATGATTCTTCTTCTCGGAGTCTCATTATCAGTCGCATCTCAGCTGCTTCTATCAGAAAAACTCATGATGTATCAGTATTTTTATGGCCAGTGGGTGGATTTGAGGCAATTAACTCAAGCTTTGTCTGTTGCCTGTTTCATCCTTTATCATGGTGTTTATGGCACACTGCCATTTAAGGACCTTCTAGAAAGAAATGAAATTGTAGAAGGTGAAGGAGGTTGTTAAAGTTGGGAATAAATTGATAATAACTGGAGTAAAGTCAGAGAAGAAGGAAGATGCTAGGTGAGGGCGAACTGCTTTGCCCTTTTTGGCCGTATTATCTTTATGGTTGGACATGTTATCCAGCAGTGGTGTCTATCAGCAATATTTATAGAGATTATCAAGTACTATTAGAACCCTGCTGTGTCATTTGTGCTTTCCTCAATAATAAAAGATCATTAATGATTAAATATGATAACTTCTTGGAATTGACTCAACTTCTTTGATTTGACTGTTGTTTAACAATTTTAAAATCTTGCTTTCAAAATGGATATTCTTTTCATATAGTATTCTTAATCTTTCATTTATTTTATGTAGAATAAAAAAACAATCACGTTTTATTTCAATCTATTTACTTTTAATCTACATAAAACAATATTCAACCTACTGTGTGTTTAGCAAACAAACATACCTTTTGCCCTCAAAATTTGATAAATTGCCAATTTGTTGACTAATACCTAAAGAGACTTAGACAAAAAACAAGTGCAGGGCCTCCCTGAGAGTAAAGCCTTTAAGGACAATTAGTAAAGAAATTTCGATCTCAGACATTTTTGTTGCTGCTTGTTCACTTGTACTCCTTGGGAACCTCGATTGACATTAAAATAAATAGAGAGCTTGCCATTTCTTAAAACATTTAAAATCCTGTCGAATCTGCATTGTACAATTACAGTATCAGCGTAAACCAGAATCTCTTAATACGTCTCAAACTATGGATACTTATCGTAACCAGTATATATATATATATATATATATATATATATATATATATATATATATATATATATATATATATATATAAAACATTTTTATTATTTTAAATGTGAGTTAAGTGTCCTGATACTTTTTTTTTTCATCAAGGAACCTCAAATGTATTATTAAAAGGTTGTTTTTTTAGAAAAATCTGAACCATCAGTATTTGAGAGAATGAAAAGATAAAAAGATAAGGTAAGTGAGTAATCTTAATGTCAAATGATCCAAGACATCGTGTTACTAGAAGAAACTAGGACTATCTGTCCTTAAACCTTTGATCTTTTAGTGTAATAGCAATTTCACAACTTAAGGGTTAAATGCCTACATAATGCTATTAAGGGGCAGTTCTCTGAATTGTATTCCGGCACATACTGGTACCAGGTAGTGCCAATGATTCCTTGATCAAATTTTTATCAAGTATATTTCAGTATATTGCTTACAAATTTTCTATCAAATGTAATACCCACACGCTTAATTAAAATGTACCCAAAGACTTCATGAACTCAAGAATTTATTGTCGTTCATTTAACGAAGAACATTAGCAATAGTGTCCTAAATCAAGATGAGGTTAAGTGCCTTGTTCAAGGGATCAATGATGATCATGGCTTGCTCCTTGTGTAGATCAAATAGCTTCTGATTTCAAACCATGTAATTGATAGCAAAAATATATATATTTAATATGAAGCTCCATTTAGTTGTTTAGAGTTTTAAAAATTCCACTTAATTAAACTGAAGACACTGCTTTAATACTAATTTAAAAAAATCTCAGTTCCACCATGAAATTTGTATTTGTTAAGTAATGAAAGGGTGTTAAATGAAAGGGAAATTAATAAAACACTGTTTATTATTTTGTTCATTTTTGTGAGTGTGTAAAGCCACTTAAATATGAACCTACTTCTGGCACTATTGTTGTGTGCCACTGTGCCGTAGTATTTGGAATATTTTGTCCTGTTGTTTAACCCTTTCACGCATAGTGGTCACTACAGTGGACAGCTATTAAAAAAGCATTTTCTTGAATTTGCAAGGGTTTTGATGGCAAAGTTGCACATCAATATCTACAGTGGATCCTGGTGCCTCATCCTATACATTGCAAACAAGTTGCAAGCCGTTGTGTTTAGATTTTTTACCCCTCCAAACCAAGATGGCCAATGGTCAGTCAGACACGCGGAATATCCACCCATTCCTTCTATCCAAGGAGACTCTTGTAGGTAAAAAAAATATTGCAGCATCAAGCAATATCTAATGAGTCATATCACAGTCAAATTTTCCAAGTTTTGATTTTAGATTGGGAGAAAAATTTGATTAATCACCTGTCCACTATAGTGGACCTCATGCATCAATGGCTATATTTCAGCTACAATTCATACTTGTACTGTGAATATTGTTTTTGAAAATACTTAATCTGCAGTGACTTTTTTGACTGTAAATAAATGTATTTGTATTATTAGAATGTTCATTGACATCGAAAAAAGTTATGTGATTACATCATTTATGTGACTTGTAATGCATTACTCATTTCATCAAAAAAGTAATCTAATTACGTAATGCATTACTTGTTAGATCAAAAAGTAATCTAATTACGTAATGCATTACTTGTTAGATCAAAAAGTAATCTGAGTACGTAATGAATGTTGCTTGTAATGCGTTTCTTTACTCGTAACAACAAAAAGTAATCTGAGTACGTAATGCTTGTTACTTGTAATGCGTTTCTTTACTCGTAACAACAAAAAGTAATCTGAGTACGTAATGCATGTTACTTGTAATGCGTTTCTTTACTCGTAACAACAAAAAGTAATCTGAGTACGTAATGAATGTTGCTTGTAATGCATTTCTTTACTCGTAACATCAAAAAGTAATCTGATTACGTAATGCACGTTATTGTAATGTGTTTCTTTACTCGTAACATCAAAAAGTAATCTGAGTACGTAATGCATGTTACTTGT